TGGGTATGGGCCTATAAATCCATCTCTCCCTTTTTCAGAGTTCCTTCTGCTCTCCAAGTAAATACAGCTAGTATTCCTCTTGCTGTAATTAGCACCTAAATATACTCTAAAGGTTTCATTCATGTGAAAGAGATAGCTGGTATGATGAAAAGAATATTAAACTTGAGTCAGAAGATTTGGGTTCCAATCAGGCTCCTCTAATTTATAAACTATGTGCCCTTGGGCAGCTCACCTGCTCGGAGCCTCTGTTTCTTCATGTATCAAGATGAGACAACTGGCCTACATGACCTCTAAGGGCCTTTCCCATTTTCATGTGATTCAATGTGCTGGCTCTCTAGCTGCATTAGAAACTCCTAAGGGCAGGGGCCACCCTACTGTCTCCTCTTCAATGATTATCCTTAATTGGTTCTGTATATACATTGATTATACATAGTTGTTTTTCATGCTTTCTCTCCATGATATTGTGAGCTCCTTGAGAGCAAGAAATGTCTTTTGCCTTTTTTGTAACCTCAGCATTTGGCACAGTGCTAGGCACATAGTAGGTACTTAATTCTTGTTAACTAACTGATCTTTATGTACTCCTTCATGATTAGTAAAGTATTGTTCAGTCATTTCAGTTGTGCCCAACTCTTCCTGACCCCATTTAGGGTTTTCTTGGTAAAGGTGCTGGAGTGGTTTGCCATTTCCTCCTCCAGCTCATTTTACATTTAAGGAACTGAGGCAAACAGGGTTAAGTGAATTGCCTAGGATCACACAGCTAGTAAATGTCTGAGGCCAAATTTGGACTCAGGAAGGTGAGTCTTCTTGACCTCAGGCCCAGCATTCTGTCCACTGAGCCACCTAACTTCTCCGTTTAGCAAAGTACTGCGTACCTAGTGGGCAACTGGAATATTCTTTTTGTTTCTTAGGCAGATTGAACAATCTCATATTAAGTAACTGTAGTAGTGTTGAATGTAAAGGAGGTAATTAAGATGGATCCCAGTAAAGCCAGCCACAGGAATCGCATGTGGCCAAATCTACCCCTAAATCTAGGATTCTTTGAACTTTTCTTTCAGGGTGCTGATAGAGAAATATAAATGAAAATGGAACTTACTTTTGAACTGGAATACTCCATTCCTCCCCATATTACCATACCTGCTGCCCCCATTGCAGCACTCTCACCAATAGTGTACAATAAATCATTCTAGAATGAAAAAGATTCAGAGTCATTCCTAAAAACTAATGGGTTACAGGAGTAAGATTCAGTCCACCAACCATAGTGCACTTAGGCACCAACAGTTTCATTTTTCCTTTTGTAATTTACTATGTTCTAGAATGTGTGTGACTGATAAAAGTAGGTAGATAAATATAACTTCCATTTTAGATATTGTGTCTAAATAATGAATGGAAACTAATACACATATGACTTTTAAAATTCTACCATTCTAATAAATACACCTCTAGAATAGGAAAGATCAGTCAGCTTTTCAAGATCATAAGTTTTTAGGAGCTAGAAGGGATGTTCTGTCATTGAATATATGCACATAAAAATTACTAAGATTATAAATAAAAACTTTTTATGTTCTCCCTTCCTAAGGGGCTACCAGGGTTAAAAGGCATCTGCATGTAAACTGTTCAGAACAAGCTATTTGAAATAGGCACTTAAAACTTCAGTGAATCTTTGACCCATTCCTTCAGTGTTGTGGACCATAACCCCATTACGGCTTCTCACATGCAAGTCTTCTCTATATTTATCCATTGATGAGGATCTATGCAAAATACTAGAGCCCTTTCATAAATCTATTAAAAATTTTCTGGGTACTAATGAAGCACTCAGGCTGTCCATCCATTATCTCTCACTATGTGGCAAACTCACCTTCTTTTCTCACCATACATTTACTAACTATGGAATTTCTTATGCTATTTATGCCTTTCATACACTTCTCTGTTGCCCTCTGGCCTTCTGTAAATTTCATTCTTCACAAATTTTGATAGACCATCATTCACAGTCCTATAGCGTTTCCAAAACAATAATGATTTTTAAAAGATGTGTTTTTATTTGAAGTAGTAGCTTAAAATCATTGAAAGAGTTGTGTATTTCCCCAAAGGAAGTCTAGCCCACTCTCTTCCTCCTACTCAATTTTGGGTCCAGCTCATTATCTTTCTACAATACCTCTTAAAGGTAAATAAACTGATAGACTATCTCAAAGGACTACCTACTCATCTGCATATCATAGTAGAGACCAGTGGTGGCAAACTCAAATAAAAATGGGGCCACCAACTCTTATGTAAAGATCCGTGCAGGTCACATATCGACTTAACAAACCATATATTAACATCTTTTTTTTAATTTTTATTTATTTTGTTAAATATTTCCCAATTATATCTTAATCTGATTCTAGGGCAGGCCCCATGTTTGACATCTCTGGTAAAAATTACAATATTTTAACAGGATTCCCTTTATTAAGAGATATATGTGCATAGGTCATGCATATACATATATATATATATATATGTACACGTATATATACACTTTACCAGATTTCAAACGATTCTTTCAAATGAAAGTAGCACTATCTGATTTTGTTAACAAAAATTTGTCACCATGTACAAGGGCTAGGCCCTGTAGGAGATACAGAGATGAATAAGATACATTCTCTGCCCTCAAGGAGCTTACAATCTAGTAAGAGAGAGAAGACAAAAACATGAAAAGTTAAGTAATAATACAAGGCACATATAAAACACGACAGTACAAGAATTGTCCAATACAGTTGTATAAAAGATGACACAAGAATGGCAGTATTTTATTAAGGGGAATCTCAGCGTGGTGAACTTAGATCCAGAGTTTAAGTGTGAACTCACCTTTACTAGCCATGTGACTAGCCATTTAAGCTCTCTGAAACTTAAGTTTCTTCAGGAACAAATAATAATAATTAAGCTTGTTAAAAAACATTTAAGAAATTAAGCCTCTCTAAAATATGAATTATTATTATTCATTCCCATCAAAGACCTGGGAAGTAGCATAGCCTATTTGGATAGAAAATTGGCCTTGGAGTCTGAAAGACCTGAGTTTCAAATCCTACTTCTAACACACTTGCTCTGAGATCATAAAGAAGTCACTTAATATTTCAACTTCCTAGTCAACTACCTAAGGCCATAAGTTATTGACAAGTTGCTGATAGGTAAGTAGAGGAAAGCTAAGTAGTCCCACATATCAATTAAGTCACTAGTTCACACAAATTGTATTATTAAGTGATATATGTATATATATGTGTATATATATATATGTATATATACTATAGGAGTTCATAAGAGCAGGAAATCACTGGAGGCAGGGTGATTTGAGAGAGGTTTGGGCCAAGTCTTGAAGGATAGGTTGAATCTGGACAGGGAGAAATGGGAAGGATACTTCAGCCAGAAACAGTAGCATGGAATAAAGGGAAGAAAGTTATAAGACACATCAAGGAATGATAGTAGAATCAATTTCGTTGGAGCAGTAGGGAAAGCAGGTGGAGACAAGATAGGAAAGATGTTGATTAATAGGCTAAGGAATATGAAATTCATCCCACAGGGAACAGAGAGATATTAAAAATGTAGGATGTAAGGAGAAAAAATTATGAAATTGCCCTTAGGAATCACATTGGATAGAATACTAGACCTGGAGATAGGAAAATTTGAGTTCAAATCCTAAACTAAGACTAGCTCTGTGACCCTGGGAAAGTCATTTAACATCTCCATCTGCTTCAATTTCCTCCTCTGTAAAATGGGATAATAATAGCACCTGCCTCCCAGGCTAATTGTGAGGATAAAATGAGATAATATCTATAAAATGCTCTCATGAACTTAAGACATTATATAAATACCAGCTAGCTAGTAGCGGTAGTAATGGTAGCACTGGTGAAAGTAGTAGTGGTGGTATTGATGTTAATGGTGGTGGTGGTGGTGATGAAATATTTTAGAATTTCAAAGTTAATCCAATCTAATCCAACAAGTATTTATTAAATGCTTATGATGTGCAAATTTGGCCTCAGATACTTAACTAGCTGTGTGACCATGGGTAAGTCACTTCACCTTGTTTACCTCAGTTTCCTCATCTGCAAAATGAGCTCGAGAAGGAAATGAAAAACCACTCCAGTATCTTTGCCAGGAAAACCCCAAATGGGGTCACAAAGAGTTGGACACGACTGAAACAACTGAAGAACAACAACAAAATTATATGCAAAGCTCATCATGGTGCAATGGATAGACAGCTAGCCTCAATGCCAAGAAGTCTTGGGTTCAGGCCTGTCTCTGAAAAATACTAGCTGACTGACAGTGGGTTAATCCTTTAAACTCTCTCAGTGCTTTAGACAATTCTCTAAGACTATAACTACAAGAGAAGATGCCTATCTGCATTGAGAGGTAATTATCACAGCTACAAATTGTCTAGATCAATAAAATCATAGAACTAGTCCCTAACCCCTATCTCCTTTGTGCTGGGCATTATGTTAGGTGTTGTTGATATTAAAACAAAATGGAAAAAAAAATAGTCCCTATCCTCAAGGAACTTCTGTTATACTGAGGAAGGAGGATGGGTGGTAGAGAAGAAATGATGGTAAAAAGGTAAATAGATAAATATATGCATGATAATTTCAGGAAGGAAAGGGCATTAATGACTAAGGAGATCTGGAAAGGTGTCCTGTAGAAAGTAGCCTAGAAGCTGAGTCTTGAAATGAGATTTAAGAACATTTTAAACGACATTTCTAAAGGAAATCATGTGAGGATACCCCAAGGCCCATGTTTCTCACTACAATTAAAATACATTACTTTGTCACTTTGTTGTGACTGGCACTGATCTTCAAAGTTAACTTGACCTTTGAAGGAATAATAATAATAATAAATAGTAGAGGATTAAGTATTTAAATAATTCATTAAAAAAACAAAAAACTTTCTGAAAAAATTTCTTTTGTAAATATACCCCTACCATATTTCTATTCTGTATTTGTTTTTAAAAAAACCCTTTTAGGGGAATGGAGAACAAGAGTGCTTACTTTAGTCAAGGGCTCAGTACCATGGCTATAAAATAACCTAGTATAAACAAAAACAGGCAGATCATAGTCCCTCCTAGCCATTTGGGAAATTTTCATTGCTTCTTTGACTCCATAGTAAACAAATTTCTGGGTATTTATACTATCCTTCAATATCAGTGGCAAGTATATAGAAAGATAAAGAGCAGTACTTTCTTGCCATAGCCACCCGAGGTCATCATTGCAGGAAATTTCAATTTCTGCACATTTCCCGGTGTATGTCAGTGGGGCTTTTTGGTCATCATAATTGTAGCACTCTGGGTAAAGGTAAAAACCCCAGTGTCCTTGTGGTCTGATTCCTAACCCCAAATGGAGAGTAGAAATCATAAAATTCTTGGCAGCATTTTCATATACCTGTTTTGCTATTGCTTTTACTTCGGCTTCTGACAAATCCTTGTTGTTATATTTAATATGGTTTAAAACCTGGATTCTATATACATTTTTAGAACCCCAATTCCTTTCGCACTGATGTTTCCACTCTTCCCAGTCAATAACAACAAGTCCTTCGAATTTTCTCGAGGAATTACTTTCTTGATGTCCTTGCTTTTTTTTTTTTTAATTAGGCAATTGGGGTTAAGTGACTTGCCCAGCTAGTAAGTGTCAAGTGGTTGGTCTGAGGCCATATTTGAACTCAGGTCCTCCTGAATCCAGGGCTGGTACTTTATCCACTGCGCCACCTAGCTGCCAGCCAATGTCCTTACCCTTTTCAAGGTGCTTAAGAAGGTTCTCATTCTGAGGCATTCCTCCATTGACAATCGCTCCACTTTGATCAGTGTAAGGATAATTCCCTAATTCTTTTTCATAAAATGTGGTAACAGGGGGCCCATTTAATGCCTCATTAGGGTTAACCACAATGTCAAAAGCTTGGAGATTTAGATCCACATGAAAACACTTCTTGCACTGTGTTGTAGGAGCATTCCACTATATCATAAAAGCTTTGTACTCTATTATTGGAGAGTTTGATTCCTTCAGACTTTTAGCATTGACTGCAAATGAAAACATTAGCATTAATAGCCATGTCATCTGCAGGCTTGTAGTTTTCAATGAAACTATCATGATGGTTTCCTTTAAAAGAGAAACAAGAAAAAATATAGATTAAAGCAATATGGACTGCATATAGTGTGGAGTGTGGCTGTAGCTCTGCCCCATTTTACAACATGCAATGAATGTTTACCAGGTCAAAATCAAGTGGTTTTGAATTTCAATTCATGAATATTTATTAATTGCCTATGATTTTCCAGCCTCTGTACTAAGTAAGCACCGGGGATACAAAAAGAAGATTCCAAAGCCAACACTAAGCCAATGACAAAAAGTAGAAAGATGTGTATGTTTTATTGTCTTTAATGAAAACTAGGCTCAGGCAAGTTTTAGGGTTGGGGGGAGAGGGGGAAACCCTGTTTTCTTTTATGACAGGACTTGAATTGTGGGAGTGGCTAAAGAATCCCTGCTCACTTTTTTTTTTTTTAGAATGTTGCAAAACCATATCATTGCCTCAAAGACTTTGCTAGGAATAAAACATCCAACTTCATTATGTCTTACTGAAATGAAGCTCAAAAATATTCCCTACTTCCTTTTTCTGTAAATAATCAATAAACACCTACTCAGCACCAACTATGTGCCAAACACTGTGCTAAGCACTGGGAATACAAATAAGCAAGACAGTCCCTTCCCTCAAGAAGCTTACAACCTAATATTTCACTTAAGTCATTCTTCTGGGTCAGAGTTGGCCCAGGCACAGGACTTCCTGGTCTTAAAAAAAATAAAAAATTAAAACATATGTGTGGGCGTAGGAGATCTGGTCAATATGGTTACTAAGAAAGGCTGAAAAGAAAGGAAGATATAATTGGCATTACCTGATGTTGCTTATGGACTTCAGGGAAACTCCTCCTCCCCTTACACCTCACTGAATCTGAAATCTTATTAGGTCTTTGACTCTGTGACTTGGGTCTGAAGATATTTGGGCTGGGCAATCTGATACAACTTCAACTCATCGAAACCAAAATGAGGGATGGAATTTGGGGCCTACCTTATATCTGGCCAGTTGTTGGGTTAAATACCCGCCAAAGGATTATTGAGTCATAAGAGCTAGTTTGAGGTCACATAATCCAACCATCCACCTGATAACAAGGCCAGAATTTCCCTCTACATCATTTAGCTTGTGCTTGAAAACTTCCTATGATAGGGAAAGGAGGTAACGTTCCATTTTTGGACAGTGACTAAGCGTTAGAATAATCTGCCTTATGTTGGGCCAAAATGTATCTTCCACCTGTAACTTCTACCCATTTGGCCCAGTTCTTCATCTGGATCCATACAGAATAAATTTATACTCTCTTCTTCAGGAGAGCCCTTCAAATAAGCCTAAATCTTCTTTTCTTCAGATTAAATGTCCCCAGATCTTCAACCATACCTCATTTGAAATTCTTTTAAGTCATTGTGACCTTCTTCTGGGCATGTTTCAAATAATCAGGACCCCTCTTAAAATACGGCTCCCAGGACTGAATACCATCAACTGGGCCACAACTAAGCCAAATACCACAACCTAG